TACGGGGAGGTTACTACTTCTACGAAATAAACTAAGTACCCGTACCGTACGTTAACCTTTAACTTTAGTAAAGTAAGTACCAACTAGGTACCCCGTACCCACTATCTCTCTCTCTCTCTCTCTCTCTCTCTCTCTCGCTCTCTATAAGTTTTTTTGTAGTATATAAAGTTTTACTGAGATGATTTCTTATTGCTCACTTTTTACTTCCTGATACTCTGTGAGTGTGGTCTTATTGTAGGCATTGACGCTGGCTATAAACCAGTTTTCAATCTCAAGGTTCTTATCCTTTGAACAGAGGCTTTATTCTTGAAATCATGGAATTTATATGACTGACTGATTATTTTGTATGACTCTATCTGTATTGTAGGGTTACTTGTTGGGCAATCCAGTCACACAAAAGGAGTATGACACTGTGCAGGTTCCAGCCGCACACAGGATGGGGCTGGTATCAGATGAATTGTATGAGGTGATTGATGGACATTTCTTACCTCACCTTCTTTTTGTAATCCATTTAGCTTGCCATTTTGGTTTTTCTTAAAACTCTTGATGTTATTGGAACTCTGAAGGCTTGTAGATAATATCCAAACAATAAATTAAGAGTTAAATTGTGGGTATGGTAGTTGCTAACATAATAATTTATTATTATTGTTGTTGTTGTTGTTGTTGTTGCTGATGTTGTTGGCGTTATTGTTGCTATTTTTGTTATTGTTCTTCTATTTGGGTGGGTTTGTGTCGTTTTCAAACCATGGGTGGAAGGAGTTGCCAAATAGATTCTTCATTTGCAAACATATACTATCTTTGTTTTTGGATTGGTTATAATTGCATCTTCATCATCTTTTTGACCTTTTTGCAATTAATTGACGTCGGCTATATAAATCTTGGCTCTCCATTCGGCTCAATCAAAAGCCATATCCTCAGTGAGGCCATAAGTCCTCAAATCTTTTCGGACTACTTTCAACCGCTACCTCTTTCCCTTTTTAGTCCTTCCACTTGAACTACCTCGCACCTTCTAACAAGTTTTGTACTTGATCGTCGCCACACATGGGCAGCCCATCTAAGTCTACCATCTCTTATTTTATCGCTTATTGGTTCCATGCTTAAATTCTCTCGAATAGATTCATTTCAAATTTTATCCCTTCTTGTCTTACCACTCCGCCATCTCAATATCTTCGTCTTTGCTACACTCATTCTATGGGTATATTGTTTTTTGTCCACCCAACATTCTACCTCATAGAACAAAGTTGGTCTCATCGCTGTCCTATAGAACTTGCCCTTCTGCCTTATTGGTATGCGGCCGTGATCGCATAAAATTCCAAGTGCACATCTCTACTTCGTCCGCCTAGCTCTAATTCTGTGTGCAACATCTTTTTTGATCTCTCAATTTTCCTGGATTGTTGACCCAAGATATCGAAAGATTGGTTATAAGTGCATGATGTCCAATAATATTTGTATTTTTAAACCGCAATTTCATCCATCATCAAGTAGACTTTGGCAATTGATGTATTCTTTCCAATGTTTGTCTCACACCAACCCATTAAGCTATTTCTTGAGACAGAGACATTGCTAGACAGATTTAGAGTAATTTGCAGAGATACAAAGTTAGAGTTGCAGAGAGAACGACATTGTCATGAGATTTACAGGAAATTATATTAAGAGGGTTTGAGTTTCTAAGGAGGCCATTGTGGCTGTGATTCCAATGAATAAATTTTTTGTGCCCCATATATTGGGCATCTCTCTACTCTTCCATCACATGCTTGTGTGCCAAATCTAGCCATGGACGTCAAGCCTTGGTTTTTTCATCCTCCTTTTTATTTTTTCAACCATGATTACCAAAATGTGATGCCTTATGTATGGATCATTTCATTTCTGTTTTCATATGAGCTTCTTTGGAATTTTGATTTAATTTTTGGACTACATTGCCCCAATATATATGAAGCTTACATTTAGTTTAATTTTGTGAATTCATATTAAGCCATCAAAATGATTGCTAGACAGAGTTACTTAAATCATTTAGTACTACTCGAATTTTTGTTACTTGGAGGCGTAGAGAAAATATGTTTCAACTAAACCTGATAACTAAGATGATGTCTATGTCTTTTGGGACTCCTAGTAAGTTTCCAAATTGTTGGTTCGGAACTCTTTAGCAATGTTGTTTAAATGGGTGATTGTGGATTTGGAGTTTGAATGTTATTGAGAAAGTACTTTCCTGAATCAATAGAAGAATGCTGCAATCCATGTTTTAATGTAGGTAAAACAAATTTCGCTGATTTTGTTGGATTTGGAATTGTTTCACTTTTTAACAATAGGGTGCTCCAACTGCCAACAATAGGGTGCTTCAACTGCCAACTGAATTAGCTTACTCTCTTTGGACATTTCTTAAATTTATATTGTCTATCATACAGGCACTATTTGGTTTACTTTTCAAAAGTTTTGTAATTCTTTGCCCACAAGGCATGGATGCAATGCTTCCCAGTAAACATAATTATTCACTTTTCCAAATTCTGATCAATACTTTTGCTAGATACATTCATCGAGTTTCAAGTGTGAGTGGCAACTCAAAAGCGTCATGCTTGTGGAGCTCATGTTATGGATCAGGAGTTGTAGTAAGGGGTAATTTAGGAATTTTACTTTTGTATAGCTTCTTTGTTTGTAGAAAAGTACATGCGTTCGGTTTTAATGTGTTCCTCAATCGTAACATATTTATTGGATAAGTCACATCTTATCTGATTTCTTTGCATGGCGGAGTTCCTCCTTTGTTTCTCTATCTAGTCGGGCAAGTATTAGATTCTCATATTCAAGAAGAAGAAGAAGAAGAAGAGCAACAGATGCTCTAACTCTATCTAAAGGAGCAATTCAATGTTGACATCTTAGAGATTAGTTGGATAAGTACATAGGCCCTTTGTGATCTTCTTCTAAGCTTTCTATGCGTTATGTTGAATGAAGTTAACTGAATAGAAAGCTAACATTGAAATAAAAAGAGTTTACTTAATGAAAATTTCTAACACATCTTCAATGTTGACATCTTAGAGATTAGTTGGACAAGTACATAGGCCCTTTGTGATCTTCTTCTAAGCTTCTATGCGTTATGTTGAATGAAGTTAACTGAATAGAAAGCTAACATTGAAATAAAAAGAGTTTACTTAATGAAAATTTCTAACACATCTTTTGCTTGAGTTGATTGTAAAGAGGATTTATGTGATCAAGAGCTTCTCTTTGGTCAATCTGGAGCTGGATGCTTTTGGTTTTGGGCCTGCCTTGTGGTTTGACATTCTCAATTCGGTCATCTTGGCTTCAATTGATTGCAATTTATTTAATGAAGTTGGTTGATGAAGTACCCAAGTTGAGCAATATATTGCAGGACAGTTTGTGAAGGGTGCCAATGTGGAAAGGCCCGTCATCTTCGATTTTTGCATTCATCAGGCCAAAGCACTAAATTGTTGGACTTGATTACATCCTAGAGTGATAGGGGCTTTGCCCAACAACAAGTTATGGTGGTTCACTATATCTTGGTGATAGTAGATGACCTCTTGAGGTAGGTTCTTTCCAAGTCTTTCGAGTTTAAGCACTCTATTGAGAATGAGTTTAACATGAAAATCATGTGTTTGACTACAGGACTATATGTAGAATGACATCTTCAAGTATTTAGTTTAGAAAATTGGCATTGAATAGCAAATGTCATGTCCATACACAACACAACAGAATGGGGTGGCAAAAAAAGAGATATATTATACTTGAGTTGAGTTTGTTATAGTTGTCTGATAAGAACCCTTCTCATAAACTTTCCTAATTTCTTACAATAGATATTTCAAATAATATGGGATGCAGTAAATATTTCATGAAAATTGGAGGACACTGGATGCCAAAGTAGTTGTTTGGAAGCATATATAATTATATGGAAAATGAGCTTTAAATCAAGGCAAATGTTGGCCTTATAAATATCAAATTGTTCCCCTCTGATTGGATGGCTCTGAAGTGTTCAGATCTCTCGTGTAGACTCAGTTGATTAGTTGGTTAAAATTATTGTAAGTCTGGAAGCATCCTAACATCGTGAAATTGGAATTTGTAAGTCTGGAGGCATCCTAACATCGTGAAGTTGGATTTTTTGTTTTTGTTTTTTTGTTTCCCTCTTCAGGCGACTAAAGAAAGTTGCCAAGGGTTGTCTGCAGATCCAACAAATGAAGAATGTGTTTTGAACATCCAAGCTGTGCTCAATGTGAGGGAATTTGTCTCATCCACACTTATGCTGATATATAGATTCTTGTTATTTTCTAAATAATGTATTTATTAGCCACTTATGGCCCGTTTGAACTTGCAGCTTACTTCAAGAATTAATCTGGTCCAAATTTTGGAGCCGTACGTATCTGAGTCATATATAAGACTCAGAGCTATGTGGCAACAGGATGAGCATTCATCCTATACTACTCTCCTGCTCACTTCTCCTTTATTCGTCAGGGTATCTCTCTTGCATATATGTACATGCACGTACACATGCACAAAAAGGCATATGTGCACATATACAAGTCTTCCACACCTTTAAATTATACGTTCTAATCCTCTCTCGCTCTCTCACACACACGCACAATTTGTTTTCTTATTTCTACTGCTGAACTATTTCTCAATCAAGATAGATTTTCATGCAGGAGTATGGCTATTTCCTATCCTACTATTGGGCAAATAATGAGACGGTTAGAGATGCTCTCCATGTCAAGATGGTGAGGGTAGAACATCACTTTTATTTTGCTGCTTAATAAGACATTATCGAAAGAAAAGATTAAAACACAATCTAATCATCACTATAGAATGTGTCAATGAGAGTCGGAGGGAATGTCACCTGAGTAAACATTTCTGTTGCATGAACAAATTGGTGTTTTATACTGCCAAAGTAATTCAATGGCAAGTAGAGATAAATGGATGTGGCAAGCACTTTTATCTTAACCAGCCATGCCATCCCCTTTCATGAACTCATGAGCTCTCATCTATGTAATATTTCAGTACATAGTTGATATTAAATTCTATAGGTTGCCCTGGCGTGTTTCTTTAATCCACCTAGGTCCTTGAGAGACGTTTTTTTTTTTTGGTGTAGGCTTGTCATAGTTCTCAGTCAACATGTGGCAGATTTTACAAAAGTGAAATACCGGCAGTCGCATGAATGTAGAGCAAGACTTTCAAATACTGCACCAGACCAAACATGCAAATTGGCTTATTCCAAATAAGAGGTCTACTCAATGTTTGCACAGGGGAGAATACCTGATGCTAATACTACACATTATTCTTTTGAAAATATATGAGGCTTATGTAGGTCTTCCAAATCAACTTGGCCAACTTCCACTTCAGAGCTAAATGTTGCTCCAAATTCCAAGTGATTTAGTGGTTGTCATTGTTGGTACCTAAATCCATCTGTCACTAACGGAGTATAGTGAATGTCGAATGGATATTGAAGGCAAAAAGTTTTAGGTGTTTGAAGAAGCTTTTATGTGGCTGCTCAACATAATTCTTTGAAATGAAGTTCTATTGTGCTTTCACCTCATATACTAAGGATGGTTAATTAAACAAGCACAAATCACTGCTCCTTTTTCAATTGATCACTTGGTATTGGGGAGAGTATGGAGTACATCAAGAATATCCTTCCTCATATTTGAGTGAGAGAGTTTACGAACCAGTTTCCAAGAGTAACAACTAGTAGATCTTAACATATCCTATCACTAGTACTTGGTAGTTTGTGTATGGTTGCAAATTGTATCACACACATGACAATTTTTGAGTTTCAAAACTAGTGCGATTGCATTAACTCTGCTAATTAAATGTGAGATATAGAATGGGAAAGAAACTCCCACGTGATACCTCCATTTGGGAATGCTGTAAAAAGCATAGCATAAAAAGCATAACTAGCAATAAAAAATCAGTTAGATTGGCATCGACTGAGTTTCAGATTGAGGGAATTTTTAATGTATTACATAAACATGATTGAGTTCATGTGTTGCACTTTTCGAATTGGAAAGTATAATTTTCTTATTAAGTTAGAACAGACACATTGAGAAAAGTTTCATCTAGCCAAGAATGATTTGTCATGAGTCCATGGTGCCCACTACGCTGGACTTCAAAGATCATCTAAAACATGTTTCACTCCCATTATTTGCTGCTAATACAGACAAACTCAACTTTACTCTTCTGATGTCCTAAATTGCTCCATATCACTTCTTGTATCATATTGTACTACAAAATTGATGCTAATATTCTTATCTATGTTAGTCCAACACTAGACTTTAAGGTTCTTGTCCATTCTTCATCATGGCAATAGAGTCTTTCACCACTCTATTAGTGGAAGATGCACCTATACAAGTGACAAAAACACTTAACAACTCTTTCTTATCTCTTAGTTGTATTATTTTTTTTTCATTTATTAATGTTTTCTACCATGCTTGTTCTGTCAGCTAGCATGAGTGAAAACTATTTTGAAGGTTTTAGATACTTGATTTTATATAATATAGTGCATTGTACTAGAAATGTGAAGTCCGAGTTTATATCATGTTAACCTCCATTGGAACATATAATTTATTTTCCATTTTGTCAGCATTCAATCATGATTTCTCTTTTGAGATTGCCAAGTTGTTTTTCTGGTGGATAGGGAACAACAAAAGAATGGAAGAGGTGCAACAGAAAATTGAACTTTCAAAGGGATGTCGCTAGTTCGATTCCTTATCACCTTAATCTTACTGCAAGGGGCTATTTCGCTCTAATTTACAGGTTATCTGTGTACCACTTTTTTTTTGTTATACTGCAAACTTAGAAGTCCATCTTTTACTTCAACCAAAAAAAAAAAAACAAACAAACAAACTTAGAAGTTGAAGCAAACAAACATCAAAAAGGGGGACTGGATACTGCTCTTATCAAATAAAAGTCGTATATGAAAGCATAGGCAAATTCCATAACTATTGTTGTTGGCATGGGGGGCGGAAATGTGGGATCATGATAGACTGGAAGCTCTTGTTGTTTGGGATTGTTGTCTATACACCTTGAAGTTTAGGGGCTCGATCCTAACATTTTGTGGAGATGGATCCGAACTTTTTGAGATTGTATGGTATATTATAAAGGTCATGAATAGTAAAAGCATCTCATGTCTCTTTGAAAAATATATAGAATATAATTTTGCAACATTCTTAACTTTTTTTGTTGACAGATATGCATTTAAGACTTGTTTCCTTATAAAAGATCAATCTAACATGACTGACTGATATTGTTCTTAAAGAAAAAAAAGTGTGATTTATATCAACTGACCCCTAAGAGATTGGGATCATATTCCCCATTTGAGAGTGAGATCCATCCATGTGTCTAGCTCTCGGAGCATTGGAGTGTCGGGATCACCTCCAAGTTGAAAGATTCTGGTAACTATGTCCCTAACTATCCATTAAGAAATTTTTAGTAAATTATACTTGAAAGTTGGACAAGGCGAACTAGCATGGTATATGCAGTTTTTAATTTTTCTCTTTTATACCGACTAGAACACTTACAAAGGCCCAATTACAATCAAATAAACTGAAAATAAACCAAAAACAATTACAAAAGAGGTGCTCACTTGCTGCTACTAATAAAACTTCTTTTATACAATAAGCAAAAATAACATAAATGCTCATGGGAACAAGAAAAACATATGACTGCAAACCTCAAAGAAAATTGCTAGAAGATTACCTCAACTGGACTTTGCACACCCCACTTTGAATCTCCTCCTTTCAATAGCGCACCAAATCAGTGGTCTATTTCAGGTCTTCGAAGCATGGGGAACCTTATGCTATAACCCTTCTCAAATCAGAGAGCAAGATGAAACATCACATAAACCACAAGGCCTCAATACCTTATATGTGTAGAGCGTGCCCTCTCTTACACCTAGCCTGGGGCGTGCCCCTTATATCTAACTCAAAAATAATTTTCTAGGGAGAGAGACATGAGAGATTTTAGAGAGATAAGAGAGGGTGGCATATCACCTAGAGAGCAGACGAGAGAGATGAGAGGTGTAGAGAATGTAGTGATTTGGGCCCCTATATATAGATTTGCTCTATAGATTAGGGTTTCTTAGGGTTAGTCATCCTTATGGAGATTAGATCAAGACCATTGATAATAGGAGACCTGTGGGGTTAGAGATCTGAGCCATACAATCTTTAGATCAACCATAATGATTCAAAGGAAGGTACTAGAATCTTATCCTTCAGCTTCGTTAACTTAATCCCATCAAATAATACAAATATGAAAAACATATTTTACTTTTCTCTCTCTTGTATAAATTTCTTATACATACTTTCTTTGAATATTCAAACTCCTTAAAAATTTAAAACTTTCCATATTTCTTTAACTTGATTGTGTGCCTTAGATGGCCTCGTCAAAATTAGGATTGCATGTCGATAAATAGGGGCGTGCCGCTCATGGGTCCCCATGTGGGCCCACGTACTTCCCATGTGGTCCTATGGTGGGCCCCCCATATAAGATATGATTTATAAAAAAATAATAACTATTTTTACAAAAGATTATGTATTTTTATTGTTCTCTCTGAATATTTAAAATATTGAAAATTCAATTTCTCTCGATTTATAAATCCATTTTGAAAAATAAAATATCTAAAGACTTATAAAAATTAAAACTATCAATTTAAAAATAATTTATCATCAAAATAATTAATTATAAATAATTTTAATGGGATTCAAATCCAACTATGTCAAGAAATTATAAAGTTGTTGAAGCCCTCCATCTTCTAATGTGGACTATAATCCATACTCACTTTCTCAAATTGACCCAGCGGTTCCCATGATAGGGCTACCAAAGTTAACCAATAGGTTAGGGGATATAATCTTCGTCTATGGATTACAGGTCCTCTCCTAGAGACAAGTCCAAGGTCATACAGACGTGGTGCAACCACAAATCTATGGTTCATAAGGGTCATCTCTTGCACATGTACACGTATCACCCTCAATGTTGACTTTCTTTCCCAATATGGCTGTCGTATGTACATGTGTGATGGTTCTATGATGAGGCGATGACCCTTGTCTTTACACGCCTACCATCACACACAGGGGTCACACAGTCCTTTGGTTCACTACCGCGGGCAACTCCGACCTCATCAAATGATAATCTTGCTAACCCTCCTCGGTTGTGCTCTATGACTAGGTAATTAAGGGTTTTCCAACTTGACTGGCTTAGCATGTTAAGCGTAGTTCAAGTATCGGCAAATAGCATTTGCTTATCTACGTCCAAAAGGATGGCGCTCCCATTGAGATTTTGTTCCACTATATAAAAATATTGATTACATGCTCTCATAAGGCTCTTAATGGCCACATAGACCAACATTCTCCCACTTGGTCTTTGAAGGCTATACAATCTCCCTTCCTCATTTTCTCTCAGCTCATCTCTCTTACATGTTCTACAAAAACATTTGCAGTAACACCTTTGTGAGCGGGTCTGCAACCATTTCCTTTGTAGGTACATAATAGATCTTGATCTTTCACTCTGCACCTCATTGCGCAGATGATAGAAGCAAGGCTTTATGTGCTTGGAATTCTTATGGAATCGTGGTTCCTTAGACACGCATATTGCCACCGTGTTGTCGCAGAAAATTCTCATGCACTCACATTGTACGGGCTCAAATTCAAGATGATTAAGAAACTTCTTTTTGTATACAGCATCCTTGGCTGACATGCAACATGCCACATACTTTGACTCCATAGTGGATAATGCTACCACATCCTATTTCTTCGATTTCCAAAAAACAGCCCCTCCTCTAAGCATGAATATAGGATGTGGACTTTGTATCATCTAGATCTCATTGATATCTCGCAGCGGAATATCCTTGGATAGCAATTTTCGATCCTTCCCCATATGTAATGTATAGTTCTCAGTCCCTTTTAAGTATCTCAAAACTCTCTTAACCACCTTTCAATGCTCAATATCGGGGTTGCATTGGAACCGACTAATCATGCTCATGGCAAAGGACAAGTCTGGTCTTGTTCTTGATATGACACTATCGCACTTCTATATTGTACTCTTTCCATGACTTTCTTTTCTTTGTCGTCTCTTAGGGCGCATTGAATTGCTTAGCTTTGTCTTCTTATCTACAGGGGTCGACATAGGCTTATATTTGTCAATCTCAAACTTTCCAGCACTCTCTTGCAGTAAGTCGCCTAGGAAAGTTGAATGATTCTCTCTTTTCCATTTCTTATTATTTTGATGCTGAACACATACGAAGCTTCCCCTAGTTCCTTCAAATTGAAATGTTGTGCAAGGAATTTCTTTGTTTCCAACACGAGGGCAATCGCGTTACTAACTATGAGCATATCATTCACATATAAGGAAATGTATACAACATCACTTCGACTAATTTTTTATACATGCAGCGGTCTTCCTCAATCGAGGTAAACCCCGTTAGAGACAACGTCTCCTGAAAGTTAATGTACCACTGGCGCGATGATTGTTTTAGGCTATGGAGGGATTTCTTTAATCTGCACACAAGGTTCCCGTTTCTTTTCTCTTCAAATCCCTCAGGTGTTTCATGAATGTTTCCTCTTGTAAATCTCTATTCAGAAAGGCTGCATTTACGTCCATTTGATGGACCTCAAAGTCAAAGTGGGCGGCTATGGCTATAGGATTCTAGCCTTTTCCTTCGTCTTGTTACTGGATATCTTGTTTGTACATATTTTCTCTTTGTTTCCCGAGTCTCTAGTGAGTTACATACAGAGTTAGAAAATATCAAATCTTTGATGATTCCATCATACATGATGGAGTTGCGAAAACTTTTGGATAGTTATCCTCCACCTGAACTGAATTCTTTCTAATAGATGGGAACCTTGCAACTAGGGGAAAAGTTTCTTCATAATCTACCCTGTATTTTTGAATGAATCCCTTCTCTAGTAGCCTAGTGGTCGGCCCTGGATTTTTCTCGTTTCCCCGTGCGGGTCTCGCGTGTGAGAAAGAAGGAAAGACCCTCTTCTTGAAAATCTCTTTCGAGCCCTCCCTCTCGTGTTCTAGAGATAGGAAGAGAGGATGGCTTTTGTGTGTGTGTTCCACGCCCCCCTTTTGGGTTCACGCTAGTGTACGCGTGAGATTGACTTCTATGCTAGCTAGGATAAGGGTCGGACAATGTGGTGTGTGCGTGCAGTTCGAACAAACAAAAGAATGGTTGTGACGTAAGGCTTACCTTGCTTGGTAGGGATCGGGACGCACTCGGGCTTGAAGCCCTGTTAGATCAGTGAGAAAGCCCCATGGCCTCTAAGGCTCGATTTGGACTCGGCTCCTTTGCAAACTTTGCACAATGTAGGTGCCCACTCGATAAAACGACTTAGAATGCGATCCCTTGCGCTCACCCTTTCTTTGTATGGTTTTGGAGGGGTTTTTTGGGGGTTTAAGAAATAAGCATAGAAGAGAAGAAAGATTAAATAGACTAGAGAAGGAGAGTAGAGAAAGATAGAATAAAGAGAGGAAAGAGGAGAGAGGTAAACTAGAGAGAAATAGAGTAGAGGAAGAGAGAACGACAAAATAAAGAGAGAGGAGAGAATCACTCGAGAATTGGGCAGCATTCTGGCATAACCTCCCCAAGGAGGTATTTACCAGAAGACAAAGAAGGTATCGGGCTCCGGGCCTCGATACCCGGGAGGATTCACAAGAAATTATATTGGTCAGGTGAATCTGACCTGGATGAATATCAGAATAGCCCCCTAGAGATCAATAAAAAGAGAGATAAGAGAGGAGCAGAGGGGTAAAATAGAGAGAGAAATAGTGTAAAGAAATATAGAATAAAGAGAGAAGAGAATCACCCAAGACTTAGGCAGCCTTCCAGCGTAACCTCCTCAAGGAGGTATTTACCAGAAGACAAAGAAGGTATCGGGCTCAAGGCTTCGATATCCCGGAGGATTCACAAGAAACTATACTGGCCAAGTGAATCTGACCAGGATGAATCTCAGAATAGCTCTCTAGAGATCAATGAAAAGCGAGATAAGAGAGGTAAAATAGAGTTGAGAACGATAAAGTAAAGAGAGAGGAGAGAATCACCCAAGAATTGGGCAGCCTTCTGGAATAACCTCTTCAAGGAGGTATTTACCGAAAGACAGAAGGTATTGGGCTCA